AAAAAGCTCAAAGGTAAAAAAGCATGGCACAACAAGGCATGTATATTTTTGACAAATGTATCATTTTAAAGTACATTTTCGTACAATTAAAATAATGTAAGATTGACACGAATGTTTAAAAGAAAGCCAAGGAAATAATGTAAAACAAACACTGATAAACATGGAAAAGATTTATTTTATTTCAGTTATACATGTGCAATTTCTACTCTCTATATCAATACAAGCTTCTTCATGTGTGGCACAATTCCTCTTTTTAACTTAATAAATGAAACATTTAGATGCATGTAACACTTTCTTTGATACGGAATTGATACGAATTTATACGAGCAAATCATGCATAGCATTTGCCACGCCCCTTTCAAAATCGTTCATGTAAACAATTCTAAGACATTTCGTGTGCGAGAACAGTAGACTGAATATATGTGCTTATAATATTCATGCAGGTTAGTAACATTTTGTCGACGTTGTAGTTACTTTACGTACTTTATTAAATTATATATCCAGACATAGATACAAACAATAAAATGTCTTTCTTTCTTTGAATGATTGCAAATCCTGCAGAAAGAAAAAAAAATGCTTATTAAATCACTTACTTGAGGTTACGTATATACTCTACAAAGAACTGCAATTATATTATTTTCCGTATAATAAAGAAGGCATTTTATTGTTTAATTGTAAACAAAATAATAGCCTTTAATATATACGACTTTCTCTAGATTTAAAACTATAAAATGCCTGAAGGCAAACATTTCGCACAACACGTAGAAAATCCAGCCTAAATCAACAAATAAACAGAGTGAGAGGGAACAGACGGTATTTGTCCGTTTTGACGCTCCAATCACTTAATTTGTGGCAAGATTTATTGCAATCAGATTTTAAAGCTCATGAAGCTGTTGAAGTAGAGACCCTTTGAAAGTCTATTCTGTTACCATGGCAATGTCGTTCATCCAAAAAGGATGCACTAAATTATCTATCTTAGTATAGTCGTACTTGTGTTGTGTGCCATGAAATCAGACAAAAACTGCATGGAGTAGCGATTTAAAGGAATTTCACAAAAAAAATTATTTTTAGTTACCATGGCAACGTCGTTAATTAAAAACTGATGTACTAGATTATGTATCGTAGTGTAATTTCATGTGTAATATATCAGAAACAACACCGGTATATATTTTATATAGTTTATCTAATAAGCACAAATATATACAGCCTGACTACATTGGATATCAGTAAGCAAGTAAGTGTCTTTGTACCAAAATCATTTATATTTTATAGTCTTTGGAGCCTGGGAAACAGGAAATGTAGGTGACTCAATTTCAGAATAATGTCAATAGGTTACTGAACTCTGTGAGAGTCAGAGAGCTAACTTTGCTTACGTGTCAAATCAATTATAAACAGATTGTGATACAATTCTAGTAAATTCCAAAACATTACAATCCTCCCCTCTTTGAATTTATACTTAACAGATGGACAAACAAAAAATTTTAAAATGAGGTTAAACATTTTCTCAAGAGTCAAGTGCCTTCGCTTCAGCAACAAATGTTTGTTTAATAAAACTGTCATTGTCGCGTGCCGTTAAAGGGTCGCACGTGGTTGATGTTTCGATAAGTAGCTCTACCATTAATGTCAATCTTCACAGCATTGCCCTCGTGAGATATAACTGTGAACGGTCCATTCCATTTTGTGTCTAACTTGGATTTTGGCATATTGTTCTTTATCAGCACTCTCTCCCCCGCAAGCAATTTGACAGATTTTGCGTTGAGCAATCGGTCTGCATATGTTTTAATTCGAATTTTATTTCTTCTGTCCCGACGGTTAAGAATTCTGTTCCTTTGATTTTGTGGCAATTGTGGAATTCTTGTTCTCAATTCTCTGCCGAACATTAATTTTGCAGGTGATTCTCCTGTTGTGCTGTGCGGTGTATTCCGATAATTTAGGAGAAATTTATATATTTCAAATCTCCAATCCTTGCGCTCTACTTTTGCAATTTGTGCAGATTTCTTTAGTGTTGCATTGAATCTTTCAACCTCCCCATTAGCTTGAGGCCAGTACGGTAAAGTTCTGTGATGTTTAATTCCGTTCCGCGCTAAGAAATTTTCAAATTCATCCGATATGAATTGTCTGCCGTTGTCTGTGACTATTTCTTCTGGTAATCCATAGGTTGCAAAAATTCTCACTAGTCGTCTAATAATAGCTTCTGAAGTTACAGACTTCAGGATTTCGATTTCTGGATATCTAGTATAGTAATCGACTATTACTAATACTTGTTCTCCTGTTGTGAATGGTCCGCATAAATCCATTCCTAATTTTTTCCAGGGTCCTGTGGGTAGGTCTGTCATCGTAACGGGTGCTCGTTGATTTGCTTTACATACCATTTGACATGCATGACATGACAATACAGCGGTTTCAACATCTTCGTCCATTTTTTGCCACCACACTTTTTCTCGTAAAAGTGCCTTTGTTTTAACGACTCCTTGATGCGACTCATGTGCGATTTCTAGTGTTCTCTTCCGCAGGGATTGTGGGATGATCATTCGAGCCTGTTTTAGTACAATCGGTCCTCGAACTGATAACTCTGATCGGATATGGTAAAATGGTAAAATTTTGTCCGATTTGGTCCAGTTTCCTGAAGTTATGTTTTCCCGTACTTGTTGCAGCGTAGGGTCATTTTCGGATTCGCGCTCAATTTCCTCTATGGTCATTGCTTTTGGTACTGCGTGTTCGATTACGAAATTGACATAGTCTTCTGCGCTTGTTTGTTCTTGAGTCGGAGTATTATTGTTTGCATTTTCCTGGCGTGAAAGTACATCAGCTGCGTTTTGGCTTCCTGGAGTATAGATCACAGTAAATTTAAATGGTTGTAGTTTCATGATCCATCGTTCTATTCTAGCAGGTGGTTTGTGTTTTGGTGTACATATGTAGGTAAGGGGTTTGTGATCTGTCAAGATGGTAAAATCTACTCCATACAAATATGTTTGAAATCGTTGGCATGCCCATACAATTGACAGTGCTTCTCGTTCGGTTTGAGAGTACCGTCGCTCAGTGTCAGTGAGGGTACGACTTGCGTAAGCCACTGGACGAAATTCTCCGTCATTTTGTTTTTGTTCTAATATTGCTCCGAGCCCATAAGGACTTCCATCTACAATTAGTCTTGTTTCTGCGCTTAGTTTATAGTACGCCATAACTTCTGATGATGTTAATAACTCTTTTAGTTGGATGAAAGCTTTTGTTTCCGTGTTTCCCCACTCCCATTTTGTTGACTTGCGTGTCAGCTTACGGATTGGCTCAGCTATTGTTGCTAAATTCGGAATGAATCTTGCACAGTAATTGACAAGTCCAAGAAAACTGCGGACTTCATGTACATTACTGGGTTGTTTTGCTTCCTGAGCCGCTTTGACTTTCTCTTGGTCGACTTTAATTCCTTCTTTGGATAATATGTGTCCCATATATTTCAGCTCTGTCTTGTAAAATTCGCATTTCTCTTTGTTCAGGGTCAGATTACTCTCTCGAAGTTTATTGAAAACTTCCCGAAGCGCTTTATCATGTTCTTCTTTTTTTTTGCCGAAGACAATTATATCGTCTGATATATTCTTACAGCCTGTGATCCCTTGTAAGACTTGCTGTATTATTCGTTGGTAAATTTCCGGTGCACACGAAATTCCAAACATGAGCTGTTTGTATCTGTACAAACCTTTGTGGCAGACAAAAGTTTCTTGAATCTGGCTCTAATTCAATTTAATGAAATCCCGATTTAAGATCAAGTTTTGAGAAACAGGTAGCTCCATTCATTTCTTGTAGTGTTTCTTCTACATTCGGAATAGGAAATCGTTCCCGCATTATCGCATTATTTGCTTGACGCATATCCACACAGATTCGCACGTCGTTTTGCTTCGGTTTTGGTATGCAAACAAGAGGTGAAACCCATGGTGTCGGTCCCTCAACTTTTTCAATTACATCTAAATTTTCCAATTCATCAATTTTGTTTCCAACAGCTTCACGCATGTGATATGGCAGACGGCGTAAGGGTTGAGCCACTGGTCGTACTGTGTTGTCTACATGTAATTTGAGTTGAAATTTCTTAAGTTTTCCAAGTCCAACGAATAGGTCACTGTATTCCTGAACTATTGTGGAAGCTTCTTTTGTTATCTCTTGGATGAAATGTTGCTCCAGTTTAATCAGTTTTAATTGCTCAGCTGTTGTTTTGCTGATCAAGTTTCCATATTTTCCGGGAATTACATGGAAAGTTGTACGAATAGATTCGCCGTTATGTTTCAACTCTGCCGTAATGATACCAAGTTGTTTCAGTGGTTTTGGTGATCCGTATGCAAAAATTTCTGATGTTGGGTGTTTCAAAGCTTTATTGTCTGGAAACAAGTTTCGAAATGTTACTCCGTCTAGAATGTTGACGCAATTAAGGCGCTTGGTGTTGCACACTTTTGCAAAATGACCTTCATTTCCACATTTATTGCACTTTTTTCCCCGTGTTATTCTGCAGTCACGACCAAAATGACCTTGATTTCCGCATCTGTAACATCGTTGGTTGTTTCTAGGGAATTGGTGTTGCCCTCCGGGTCCTTTGTATCCAGAATGTTGTGTTCCATGACCTCTGCCATTCCGTTCCGATGCACGACTTGGTTTTGGTTTTTCGAAATTTGGAAACTTTTTCGATTTCATCTGTTGGTTAATTTTGTTGACCTCTTGTGGAATAGCTGGATTTTCTTCCATTTTCTGTGCCTGACTATCTGACATTTCTACGGCCCTTGATATTTCCAGTACTTTAATCAAGTTGAGTTCTTTTTCTCGCAGAAATCTTCTTCTTAGTGCTGTTGATTTGCATTTATCGATGACCTGATCACGGATATTGTCATCTTTTGCCACTCCAAAGTCGCAAGATATTGCAAGTTTTTGCAATCGTGTCACAAAATTTGTAACTGTTTCATTTTCATTTTGTGATGCCTGACGAAACATATGTCTTTCGAAAGCAACGTTTTTTCTGGGTGCAAAGTAGGTATTCAAATCATTAACTATATCATCGAACTTCTCACCTGTATGTTCAATAGTATCATATATGTCCTGAACTTCCGGTCCTGCTAAATGTAGGAGAAGCGCACGTTTTTGTTTCTGAGTAGTAACTCCGGATGCTTCCATATAATATTTGAATCTCTTCATCCAATCGTCCCATCTTTGGGCTACATTTGTTAGTTCTCCTCCTATCACGAACTGAGGTACACAAGGTAAATCAATTTTCGCTGCCATATCATCAAATTTAATTGAATCACAGATTTAACTTCTCCAACGAATCACAGAGTTAACATGTTTTGTGCATCCTCGTCGCTATTGTAATATATCAGAAACAACACCGGTATATATTTTATATAGTTTATCTAATAAGCACAAATATATACAGCCTGACTACATTGGATATCAGTAAGCAAGTAAGTGTCTTTGTACCAAAATCATTTATATTTTATAGTCTTTGGAGCCTGGGAAACAGGAAATGTAGGTGACTCAATTTCAGAATAATGTCAATAGGTTACTGAACTCTGTGAGAGTCAGAGAGCTAACTTTGCTTATGTGTCAAATCAATTATAAACAGATTGTGATACAATTCTAGTAAATTCCAAAACATTACATCATGTGAGCCAAAATATAAATCTCTAGGAGGAGTGGCTTCAAAAAGGAATTTCAGAGAATTTTTTTAGTAACTATGGCAATGCCGTTCATAAAAATCAAGACCGGATGCACTAATTTTTAATTATGTATCTTAGTTTAATGTATTTATATACCAATTAAGTTAATTATATTGAAATCAGACTATGCAATGTATACTCTTTTATGTATGTTTTTGAAGCATTGACATTTAGCATGACGTTTAGCATATGCTCACACTGTTTGCACTGGATTGGTCACAAATACGAGGGTTGTCCGTAAAGTTCGTGGACAACATTGATAATTACTGAAAAACATTGGTAAAATATATGAAACTATTATTTTCATTAAATTCATGTTTCATTTTATTAATATGCACGTTTTCAACAAAAACAAAGCACAAATAATTATATTTTTATCAGATTAAAAAAGAAACACACTCATACCCTGAGCACTAAAATGAGAATACTTGACGTTAGGCGACGTCAAAAGCATAATACGAGTACATGTAATTTTTCTCAACATAGTCACCATTTCACTCAGTACATTTCTTATGTCGCTTTAACCAGTCATACATTTGTGCACCAATGTTCAGATTTCATACGTAAAATAATATTTAACAATGCCTGTCGAATATCCTGCAATCATTCAACCTCTGTCCGCGTAAAAACAATTTTATTTACGGAAATACGGTAAAGTCACATTACGAAACTCATTTTTTACCAGCACTGAAATCTAGGAATGATGGTTTTCCTTCACGCATGTCATCCTGTAAACTGTTCCTTCCATCCGAAAATATTATATGCCACTTAAATACTAATGTACGGCTTCTTTCACTATGTTTCCCCGATTGTTTACGAAATGTATTGGTCTCTGTAGATGTTTATCCGATGTCTACGCAGAATTTTATCACTGCTCACCGCTCCACCTATTCCAAAGACGTCCCTTTTTTGAACAATTCTTCATATGTTCTAACTTTGATTGCTCAGTCATTTTACAACTTTGAATGTTCAAATTTTGCAGGTTTGAAGAGATAACTTCTGTCAACCTCATAATGTAAAAGTCATCCAGATTTCCGCAGAATTTTATGAAATACAAATGAAATTTTTAAAGTGATAAATAATTTTTTAATTAAAATTTTGCGGTGCTCCGGGTCTCCATTCCAAGTCTAATTATGAAGCTATAATTGTAATTAAACATTTGAAATTAAATAAGGTTTTACATTTTTTCAGTTCACAAAGGATTAAAAATATGCTTATAATAAATATCAATGACGCAACTTTTATTTAATTCTTAGCTTGTCCATGAACTTTACGGACAACTCTCGTATATAAACAATGAACATTCTACCGATATCGAGAATTTTCGGACAAAATTATGCCACCTTCGAAGAAGGGAGGGCATATTGATTTGCCGCTGTCTGAAGGTCGGTCCACCACCAGTTTCCTTTCATTTTCTTCGCAGAGGTTGCACATATTGAAATGAAATTTGGTATACAGATTTATCATAAGAATATCTAGGTCAACTTTTGCCCCTTTGGACTTAAAAAAAATTCAATTATTTGCAGTTTCCGTTCATTTTCTTTGCAGTGGTTGCACATATTGAAATGAAATTTGGTATACGGAATCATCATAAAAATACCTAAGTGACGTCATGTTTTGGATACGATCGGGCCATTTTGGACAGAGTTATGCCCCTTCGACTTAAAAAAATTCCAATTATATTGGGGAGGGGGGATAAGTGTTTTAGAAACATCTCTTGTTTAGGATAATGAATCTTTGAGAATTTTGCACTGATATGGAGACACCATCGCTTGCCGGTGGAGAGCTGCAAATTTTGACCTATACACTTTGCACTCAAAGCCATTGAGCAGTTATAGATCTTTGCATGCAAGCACTTACTGCGACACGGGACTTCATTCGAAGGACCTGTCTCTATGTCCCACAGTGGGTGTGGAGCCCGCGACGTAAGGATGATATTCTTACTACGCTGCAAGAAAACAGACGCTCTTACCACTACGCCACGCGGAAGACTAAAACCCCAGTCACATTTCCAAAAATGACCAGCGGCCGACGGATTTAAAGGCAAAAATGGGATTCTTCAGGCGACAATCGGCAGTTCATCGGCCGTTGTCTTGCCCAATTCTGACCTTTTTTCGTCGGTCGACTAATTCTGTGTCCATCGGGCCAAGTTATATTTTTTTCTGCGTCGTTGGCCGATTTCTTCGGTTGAAATAGTCGTAGAAAAATCCATCGAGCCACTCTCGATCATCGTCAGACCATGGGTAGACAGTTTTTATATCGTCGGTCGGTCAAAATTTAGGTATTAGGCTTTTCTAAATTTGTCGGGAGACGGACACCGAAGGAAGACCGGGAATCAACCGAGGGTCGACTGGCCTGTCTGGCGATGTAGAATAATTATTGCCTGGCTGACGGCGGACCATATACAGATTGGGGCTTCGGCTGATGCACATAAGACAAAATGTATTGCTTCTGGTCCTGCTGAATCTTGAAGAGGAAGGTCCCTGCCGACAAAGCAGGTAACAACATTGTCTTCGTTTGTAAAGCTCATTATATAAATTGTATTTTAGAAGTACATGGATTTAATTCTACAAGTGGTAATCCTACTTATACTCATACTTCCCTTTCTAAGGAAGAAATTCTTCAAAATCATATGTCAGTTTTAAATATTTTTAATATTCCACAGGACCAAGATGAATTTGAACTACCCTATATATATTGGATTCCGAAACTTCATAAAAATCCTTACAAACAAAGATACATTGCGGGTCCCAGTAAATGTTCAACCAAGCCTCTATCGTCACTCCTCACTAACATATTGACAGTAGTGAAGGAAAAACTTCAAGAGTACTGTGCAACAGTATATTCAAGAAGTGGTGTAAATCAGATGTGGATACTCAAAAATTCCAAAGAACTTTTGGACAATTTAAAATCACAAGATTTTACCAAAATCAACAGCTTAAAAACTTATGACTTTTCAACTTTATACACAACCACTCCCCACGATAAATTAAAGTCCAGGAAATTTTGATATCATTGACAGCTGCTTTTTTAATAAAAATGGAACTCGTACATTTACTTGTCTGGTCATTTGCAAAATTATTTTGTTAAAACACATTCTGATTGCACAAACACGTACTCTGAAGTTGACATCAAAGAGATGCTGAGTTTCTTATTGACAATATCTATGTGGTTTTTGGAGACCAGGTATTCCAACAATCTATTGGAATTCCCATGGGTACCAATTGTGCTCCATTATTAGCAGACCTAATTTTATATTCATATGAAGCAAAATCTTACGCGTGAAAAGAAGAAAACACTTGCTGTGGCCTTCAACTCGACTTTTAGATATATCGACGACGTATTGTCAATTAACAATGGAAATTTCCACTCCTGCGTCGATACGATATATCCTAATGAGCTTGAGATAAAAGATACCACAGAGTCTGACACATCTGTTTCATACTTGGATATTTTACTTGAAAAAGACGTTAATGGTAATCTAACAACCAAGCTGTAAGATAAACGTGATGACTTAAACTTTTCTATCGTCAACTTCCCTTACTTATGCAGCAATATACCTTCATCACCTGCATACGGAGTATATATATATCTAAGTTGATTCGATACGCAAGAGCATGCTCTACGTATGAACAATTTCTAAAACGAGGTAAATTATTGACAAGCAAGTTGATGAAACAAGAATATCAGTAGACTCGTTTAAAGTCATCATTTCGTAAGTTCTATGGTCGATACAGTGACCTTGTCAGCAAATACAATTTATGATTGAGTCAAATGTTGACTGACGTTTTTCATACAAATTGTTAGTCCATTATTTATACACTGAATTGACAACGGATTTTTCCGTTATTACCTGATCATGACAAGGAGCACACGGCGGGTGTGACCGATCAGCAGGGGATACTCACTCCTCCATGACACCTGATCCCACCTCTGATGTTTGCTCTGATCCTATTTTGTATATTGAATACTGTTCGTTATCTTCATATCCTTCTGCAAGAGACGAAATCGACGCACATGTTGGGTGAAACAATTGCCCATTTGAACGAGTTTGTGGGAGGAAAAAAATCCCCTAGGAGAAAATATCCAATCTGACTTTTTTTCTCCTATGGGAGAATGGTGGGATAGTTCAATCACACCATTCTCCCAATTCTCTGAGTTTTAGGACTTCATATCTTAAGAAGTTGAGGTGTTTGCAAGTTCAACATAAGACCCTGGAATACTGCCAAGTGATATAAAATATTTTTGATATAATTAGAAATGGTAGTAAAAATCTAGACTATGTCGTGTCCAGAGTTAAATGTCGTACTGTTTTAACCAATTTTTGAGGATGTCGCCTAATATATTTGTGGAGCTTCTTCATAGAGTCTCCAAAGGATTACAAAAAGTGACGAAGGCAACCACTAGAACCCGGACTAAAGTTAGCCATAACTGGATGCAGTTATACAGCATTAGAATTTGACTTTAGTGTGCCCCATAATACAATATCTCTTTTTGTACCTAAGGTTTGATTACATTTTGAGATAAGCTTCTTAAAAGATTATATTCCTTTTTCATTTTCTGTCAAGTTCATTTACTAGTTTTTTTTATTGTTATGTTTTCTAATTTTGCAAGGTTTTGACATAAGAGTTTGCATCGGAGGTTTTAGCTTTACAAAACACACCAGATGAACTGAACGATGTTTCGTTGAAGTTTAGTTCCCGATGGAACTTTCACCATTGATGACAGGCACAGAACTATCAAGCAGCCACCAAGGTGAAGGATAATGTTTTATAATTAAAAGAATTCTATTCGTCCTCCCTGCTCTTATAGATGCTGACTATAAGTTCCTATGGGCTAGCATTGGTGCGCCTGGATCAAACTCAGATGCCGATGTCTTTAATGAGTCTTCCCTAAAGCTAGATCTCCATGAGGCCACCAGGGCTAATGGATGCTTGATCTTTCCCTAGCCATCACCACCCTATATCGTACTTTTTAATTGGAGACAATGCATTTCCTCTTCATAACTGGATGCAGACATCTTTTTCTCAGCAAGCCTTCACCCACGAGGAGAGAATATTTAATTAGAGACTTTCTTGAGCTCGCCGAGTAGTTGAGAACGAATTTGGTATCCTTGTCTGTCGCTGGCGCTGTCTCCTGACTAGTGTCTACGCTTCGGACCCTGTATTTGACTGTTCATTGCATTGTAAAATCATGTTTGATGCGTCAAAACGTAATACGATTTAAGTATCCCAAACTACAAAATCAAGATTTGGACGAAGAAGATGAAGAAGGTAACGTCATCATTCCAGGTGTATGGAGAGACAACACCGTTCTACATGTAGCTGACGTAGAACTCGCTGCTCGCGCACCCCGTGCAACAAGAGAAGGACATCAAATACGAACATATTTAAAACACTACTTCTCCAGCCCAGTTGGGGCAGTGTTTTGGCAAGATGAAATTGTTAACGGAAATTGTATAATTATTCACTGCTTGTATACACAGTCATATATATATCTTGCAATCTTTTAAAGATAATCAAAAATGCAATGAAATATAAAACTAGTGTCTTTTTTGCTTTTCAGCGACAAATAACAGATAGGAAAGATACATATACATGTATGTCATAGTTATAAAACGTTAATAAAAATAAAACTGGTAATCAAAATACAGGAATTTTAATGTCATTTTTTTTCAACAAAATAAATTTTGGAAAATCTCCTTCATTTTGTCTCTTATTCATGGGTTTAAAACTGGGACCAAAAAATGTTGAAAACTTTCAGTATTTCCAGTGATTAAAGATCGATGCATGCAAAACCTGGCTATATATTATTTTGGGCATTTCTAACCACGCCGAAAATTAGTCTAACGCCTCGCGTATGCGGCAGTGAGAGGAACACAAAAGTAAAGTTGATCGGTTCAAAATCCCAAATTGCGCAATTGGTTTCTTTCAGTTTTGGGGTGAATGAAATGACTATGATAGTCTACTGTATTACCTCTGACACCGGGTAACACGTTCTATGGGGGAAAATTAACAAGAAAGTGCTCAGTAACCCGTTTGTTGCCTTTGTCCTTACTTAGGCAATTCGAAATCAAGACCCCATGTAACTTCCGTAAACTGTACCAGGATTGCAGTAATTCATATCGTCTGTAAATATTGGGGGAAAAAACAATGTGTATACCTCAGCATCAAATGGTACAAGATTTTTTTTGACAAACTCGTCGTCATTAATTTGTACGTGTTTTGGGCTTTTTAGCGTTTTCTCTACGTGACGTCATGTATTTCTAAGGTTGAGTAATTCTGAAAACTGATTTTGGTGCATAGTAACTAACATTCTCATCTGATTAATTTTCGGTCATGCTGTCAAAAAAAAATCGAATACTAGTATTATGTTACCTTTTTTCCCTTTTCAGTATATTTACATTTTTAACAAAAAAGAAGTAGTACACTTCATTGCTTAGTATTTGTAATCAAAAATATCTGTGGCCGTCGCTGAATTTTGGAGTGAAAGGTTGGAATTGCTGTTGCAAAGGGGTACGGAACGAAGGTAATGATGCTGGTGAAGGGAGACGTGTACCAGGTGGCAAAGGGATGTCCGGCAAGTATCTTCGAACCATACTCCAGATCTCTTGCTGGAACACCCGGAACTTGTTCGCGTCAACGTACGTTTTGGCATGAACTTGCAAGAAATGTACTGTACCTATGCTGTTCCTTTGTCTAGCATGTGGTTGTGTCATAGTGTCTATTTGAAATAGTAAAGGAAATAATTTTGAATGACTTAAGATAAGTAAAATCGCTTATACTATAAAAATAATGACTATTTTTAAATCAAAGTCACCTTTTGGTTTATTTCCTGCTCAGCTTTCTTTCAATCCTGGTACATCTGTTTATTAGTTGAATGGCACTGACATTGCTGTTTCCGCTGCTGTTTGATTTCTTTGCCCCTGGATTAGCAGTGGTTGTAGACTTTGGCGAAAGTTTTTTGAAGCTGATTCTTCATCCGTGAGATCACCATGAGTCACTTAGATTTCCGATTGAGACTATTGAGAAAGTCAATGAGAAATAATTAGCGAATCAATAAAACTATATTTTAAAATAAAGGATGTTCTTTGGTCGATACAATGACCTTGTCAGCAAATACATTTTATCATTTAGTCAAATGCTGACTGAGTTTTTCATGCTAGTTTTTAGTCCATTATATTTAAACACTGAATTGACATCGAACTTTTCTGCTATTTCCCGATCATGACAAGGAGCACAAGGCGGGTGTGACCGGTTGGAAAGGAATGCTTACTCCTCCATGGCATCTGATTCCACCTCTGATATTTCGGAGGTCCGTGTTTCCTCTGTTCCAATTTTGTATTGTTTATTGAACTTTTGAGCTTGAATACTGTTCGTTATCTCCATATATTTCATGTATATAAATTATAAAATCAAATCTGTAGCTGCCTACCCAATCAGATTGCTGTCTACCCTTCCAATCTCTTCGTCTGTACAATGCATACAGTACTCACTGTTTGTAAAACATTTATGCCACCTCCCCCCAAATTGGAATTTTTCCAAGTCCAAAAGGGCAAAAATGGCGCAATCGTACCCCAAACAGAACTTGACCTAGATATTCATTTGATAAATCTGTACACTAAATTTCATTACAGTATGTGCAACAGTTGCGAAGGAAATGAATGGAAACTGCAAATAATTGGAATTTTTGTATTACACTATAGGAAATGTTCATTGACAGGCTGGTTGGCCCCCAACTTTTTGTGATATAAGGAAAATGTAGTATTGTAGGTCAAAAAATTAGTACTCCCCCTACCGTAAAATAGGATTTTCGATTTTGGGCTTGGGACTTTTTTTTTGGCTTGTCAGCTTTTTCAGGTAAGTAAAAAATAAATTTAAACCGATGCCCCCCCCCCCCCCCTTTTTCAAAAACGATCTTTCTATCCTAAGACGAGTGAATGAAGTACGAAAAGACTTCCACCTGCGTATGCGTCACAAAATATTCTGATAAGAATCATTGGTTTAAGAGCTCGTGATTTTCAGTTATTAGTACATTGGGTTTTACATTCCAAATGTATCAATGTCGATGCTGAAAATAGGAATTTGACTTCTTTGCAAGAGTTTCAAAAACTCAAATGTAAATAAGAACTTTGTGCGAACCCTTTTTCTTTTAGTTCATACCATACATGAATATATACATGTAATGGAAAATGATATTTTAAATCTGCAACTTTGTTTCTAGGAAAACAAGATAAAGATGTGTGTTCATTGATGAATCGATCTGTAATGGTTTCAGTATTGAAAGAACGATACTATCTCATTATTATTTTATAAGAACTGTTTTGCATTTTTCATGTTCATGGAAAAAAAAAATGCTTTACATGTACTTGCAAATAATGTGCTTTACAGATTAACATTTGCTGTTAATGAAAACATAGCATGAATGTTTAATAAAATATGTTTATATTTATTTATTAGATTGTCCTATACAATTATTTTTTGACCCGTAATATACATAATCAAACTTGCTTTCCTTTGAAAGTGTTACCTCTTTCAAATAATTATAAAATTCTTGTTGGGATCAGTTGAACATTGTTGAATTTTTGTCGGGATCGGTCGAAATTTAATTTATTTCTCTTTTTGCAATTTAATTTTAATTTCTTTTGAATAACATGTTCTTCCTAGTTAGTTATAAAAAGTTTTTACGACAACTTAAATTTGACCATAGGTTTAAAAAATATTCAAAAATAATGTATTTTATTTCCATAATTTTTTGTCAATATTTTTAAATGTCCATATGGCTTTCGTAATATCTTAAAATATTTTATTTGACATTTATACCTGTATAATGCATTCATCACAACAGCAGATATTTAACTCCAAAGAATCTTATTTGTAACAATAAAAACCTTTAATGAAAAAAATAATGTAAAATAAATAGAAGCTAATATGGGCCTCATAATGCTGAAACCATAACTTAATAAGGATGTCTTACATCTAAAAAATGAAATTTTGATGTGGCATTATTTTCTCCTTAAATGTATATCATATTAATTCTCGTTTTCTGTCAAATTCGTTAAGATGATGTTTCCTTGGATGCTCCTCAGCTTGTGTTTCCTGACCACCTGTTCCAGTTTGCGCATCGTGGACCTGACCCATGAACAGAACCATGCCACCATATACTGGCCAGGGAATCCCGCCTATAACTTCACCATCTTATATAGAAACGGAACAAACGGCGGATATTGGTATTTACGAATTTCATAATTTGCAAAGAAATTTTATAAATTTTTCACAGAATTTTGTTTTACAAATTTTGATTGTTTTGAGTCTTTTTGTTTTCAGTTTCAACCTTTTTCGTGATACATATACATGTATTTGCTTGAGCCACACGGGTATTTTTGGTTTACGGTTCTATAGTAACGCGATTGTGTGTCTGTAAGTGTGCGTAACGGACATGGTTGATGCATACACGTTAAAAGCTGATTTATAAATACAAAGTTTTTTTTCAGGTGAAAGTTTTTGTGGCATGCCCATTTTTTATTTACTTTTAATTTAAACTTTCCTCGTAATGCTAGTATTTGCAAAAATCACGCGCATGTGCATTTCATTTGCTAAGATGATACAAGTTAAGGCAAACATGCAATTTTAAGAAAGGATTTTCAGTTTAGTTCACACATAAATGACTATTTTTTTAAATTTGTGGGGTTTATTTTGACATGAAAGTGCAAGAATTAATTGTTTGGATGGAAGAACTCAAAAGTAAGTTTTATATTTTTTTTAAGCAGGTCCATTTTCAAATAACTATAACCTACTTATCAAAGTTCATTTTGGTATTCCAGCCAAAATTAGATCTATTACTTCCTGTAAACCCTTGTCAAACAATTTATATTGCATTCTTTTGAGGAAAGTCTCTATCAGTTAAACCTTATCAAACAATTCTTTCTGGCATTCCAACCAAAATTTATGTCCGTATTGAGATTACCGGGGTATTCATCTTTCTTTCTTTTTTGTTTTAGGTACGAAAGCAACTCCTTTGCCACAGCTGAACACGGGGGAACACATGTTGATTCTCCCGCCCATTTTTACCAGGGAGGATGGCGAACCCAGCAAATTCCAATGGAAAAGTTAGTAGGGAAAGGAGTCATCGTCAATGTCCAAGCCAAGGCGTCCATAAACCACGACTACCAAGTCACCGTTCAGGATCTTACGGACTGGGAGAACAGCTATGGACTTATCCCAGACGGAGCGGTTGTCCTTATGAACTCAGGCTGGAGTGATAAATACCCGGATAAAAACGCAGTCTTCAACACTACGACCCCTAATGACCCCAGCACTTTCCACTTCCCTGGGTGGCATGAGGATGCTGTTACTTGGCTATCTAAGAACAGGAAGGTGAACGTTATCGGTGTGGACACACCCTCTACGGATTACGGACAATCAACAACTTTTCCGACTCATGTAGTACTTGGGAAAAATAACATTATTGGAGTAGAGAATGTTGGTTTCTTGGACAGCATACCTGAGAGTGGAAGTACTATTTTTGTTGCAGTCGTAAAGTTATCAGATGGAAGTGGTGGGCCTGCAAGGGTATTTGCTATGGTTGATGACAATCAATGCACATCCGGAAGTGACGCCCATTTCTGTCACGTTAACTTGCATGTACTTGTTTCGATTTCGCTTATCGTTGGTCTGTTAACTTTATAGCCAAACACTGTAAAATCCTAAATCACTTGCATCCCTAATGATCTGATTTTGTCATCATTCTAATTGTCATTCAAAGTATAGCTCAGTTGTGCATAGTAGATTCTTCCATTACTTCACTTCCAGACGTGTAATGTCAGTAAGTCGAGACCTCCCCCCCCCGCCCTTTTTCCCCCAGACGGTAGATCTTATTGTTAAAAGTGTTCGTTGAAAGGCTGGTTCCACTTTTGCCTTAGTCAAGATCATTTGTGCTAATGAAATAAAGTTGGACCTTAGATTTTTAGGTTCCTAACATTTTTTTCTTTTGAAAATAGTTAAGGATATTTGTATTCTTTTGATAAAATACGATTTTGTTTTCAAATCAATTGTAAATTAAAGACTTACTTTGAAGTAACGCTCACAAAGTGAATGTATACTGCTGAAAACTAAGACTTCAGTTGTAATTTTATAATTAAATTGCTAAGGTACAAACATATATTGGTCGAAATGCCTAGAATTATAGAAAAATCATTTTTTACAAATATTTAATTATATAGAAGTTACATTTCCCTTTACCCTCGCTAATGCAAAATTTCTTAAATTAAGTTACATTGTTAAAAAAATATTCATCTCCGTTGAAATATTACGTCGCTTGAAATGCTAATATCAGCCCCTTCTATACAAATATGTTTGTTATATGATTTTTTTCCTCGCGAGAATAGTGTCACTGTGTGGGGGTGTGTGTTAAATATGATAGTATTCAATTATGTACTCTTAGGTATTGAATATGGTTTGTTCTTCACAAGAAAATATAAATATTGACCGAGGTGAAGGTCAATATTGATATTTTTCTGGTGAATAATGTACATTTATTGACCGAGTTCGAGGGCATCATGTATTTATCAAGGCCGTTAGGCCGACTCTCTTCCTTTTCGGGCGTTATATCATAAATGTATTGTTATACCGGTACATGTATTTTGTACTCTCTTCCTTGGGCGTTATATCATCAGGTCCGTTACTGTTGACGAATGAAAATGAGATTAAGCTCCGCCCATTCTGTTATGTAAGCGGTCCAACATCTCACCGACCGGTCCAACATCTCACTCAGCGGCCAAACATCGATTTTTTTTTATGCCTGCTCAGCAAAACATTACAGGAACACATCTTTAAAGGTATAACAACAAACCATAATCAACACCAAAATAGTACATGAATGTTTTTATTATATAGTCCAGATTTGAATAGATAATACAATGACGACACCATTTAAAACTTGACCATTTTCTAAACAATGTTACCATAAAATATAAATTGAAGTTAGACACACGCATTACATTGAAAATTTAAAAATATAAAACACGAACTTTTCCGATTTTCGCTGTGTGTTTTTCGAAGACTTTATATATTAAATATGAAAAACGTATATATGTTTAAAAATATATTATGATCCTGCATTCTGATTAGTTTAGAAAACCTTTAATTCTAAATAACTACTCCCAGTCCCCATACACATTTTTCTTGGGCTGCAGAATCAACACCAAAATAGCATAAATGTTTTTATTATATAGTCTTTGGATAATACAATGCGACCGTTTTCAAATATTGTTTATAACTTTTCCGTTGTTTGTAATATGTTGATTGTAATGTTTGTCACATTTTTCTTGCTCATGCCGCTGCACGGGCACTTGTTTAATATGTTGATTGTAATGTCACAATGCCCCTCCGGTGAATACGGCCTCAAATCCGGTGAATATATAGTATTATGAACTGTTTGCGCTTGTATAGATTTTATCCTGCAACTACCCTTGCATTGACTTAATAAAGGTAACCTAATAAACTAAAGCTTTGTTCGGTCAATGTCCTAATAAAGCCTTGGCATGTATTCCAACGTTCTGAAAGCATTGTGACGTCACGTATATCGCAACGTTTACGCTATGGCGTCTTCGTTTCCACTGCAGATACGTGTCTAAATCGGGTTGAAAATAGTTCAATTGCGTGACGGGGTTAGTTTCTATATACAGTGCTCATAAAATTAAGAGATTAAAAGCGCAGAGATGTGACATCTAGTGGCTGGCACTGGACAGCTGGGTCTTGAAGCTGTCCAGAGTCTTGGCCTCCACCATTCCTCCTGGTAAGGAATTCCACAGCCGTGTGACTTGAGGGAAGAAGGAGGTCTTATACACTTCTGTCCTTGTGTGTGGTACCCGGAATCGCAGGGTGTGGCCTCGGGTCCTCAACGGTGCTGGGTGTTAGTAGCTCTCCGCCGGGGTGTCCACAAGATGATAAACTATCCTATATATCCTGATAACTTGGGCCCTTTCCCGACGGATCTGAAGTGACTGCCATTGGAGCTGCTGTAGCATGGATGTTACACTACTTGTGCACCGGTAGTCTCCAATGGCGAATCTCGCTGCCCTTCGTTGAACTGCCTCGATCTTCTTGATATTCTCCTTCTTTGCTGGGAAAGTTTGGAAGGCAGATGTAAATATATTTTGCAGCATAAACAAAATACATGATCATTGTATTGAAATATAAGCGATATTTGGGCTGATTGAGGGCTCGGCAAGCCTCGCCCTCTATCACGTTTTCTTACCCTCGCCCAAATATTGCTTATATTTCAAGACAGTATATATATATATATATATATATATATATATATATATATATATATATATATATATATATATATATATATATATATATATAGGGACTATATACAGAATGATTTACAACCGATGTTTACACTGTTTTATATTTACATTACACACGTGGTTGCGTATATTAATCACATTTGCAATGAAAGGCAAAACGAGTTAATAATGTAAATATAAGCAATGAATTGTTAATTTTTGGAAAGACATAGTCTCATAACTGCAACGGTGAGTGCAAATAAATTTTCATAGCGCATCATTCCATGCAATTTCACTGTGTAGAAACGGACTAGGGTAAAGTGCGTTACCCTAGTCCAAGATGGCGACAGGCAAGTACGCTTCGATTTGTTGACACTAAATTTACGCATTTTTCCGAGCTATATCACTATGGCCGCCATTACGCCTGTTGTTATCTATAGCCATGAGAGATTCCCTTGTTATGCAGTTTTTTTACGCACTTTTGTTAGGAATCGATGTATGTATTATCCAAAATGGACTTTAAAGTTTTAATCTGAATCAAGGAATTGAAGCATGCACAGAAATATAAGCTGTTAATTCACTGATAAGCATGACCTATTTAGCATGGAGCAGAATGGGAAAGTGCCATAACTCACGCATGCCTGACATTGCTACATGGTAGCAATAACAGGCAATTTTTAAAATAATTTTGAAACCACACTTGTTATACATCAAAAGAAATGTCAATTTACAAGGATTTCAATGGTGTAAAGGTTATTCAGATTGGTCAGTGTACAATAAAGATATAGGCATTTGAAATTCAGTAGCATTTCATGTTTTCTGCCAATTTTTCGGTTATCTAAAAAATGAATAATAACACTTGTAAAACAGTAAATTAAAATTTATTAAACACAATATTAAGTAATTACAAAATTTACAGCTGATTTAACTTCAAAAAACAAATGCAAAGTCTTTTAAACTTGAATTTTTAAGTCGCCTGATTCAAGATCATTTTTCAGTTTATAACTGTAGATCGCTGGATCCTCAGAATACTTTATGTTGAACCAATCAGGGAAACCAGGCACCTAGAAATATAGAACATGAGTACTATTAAAGGAAGTAGACATCAGCAATATTATATAGATTTTATTTACATAATCATGGATGTTAAATTATTATATGTTTAAATATATTGCTATAAAAACGCTATCTTAATATTGCAATAATAATGTTAGAATATTTTTCATTGAGACAATTTGAATCTAATAATTAAACAATACTTCAAAAGTATGTGTGATATAAATGTGTATTAATCTGATAAAAACAAGCTAATTCAGAGAATTCGTGTCCCCCGCTTAGGGAAAAAGTCGCTCCCCCTGACTGAATTTGTAGAATTATTAAATGTATATATACATGTATACTGAAGCAAATAAAATACATGTAATGTCAATATGCATATAAAGATTTGATTGCTTATTCTTCATTATGTGTATAGAAAATTTTTTTATATGGAATTTTTATCACACTGTAATGATTATTTTATAACCTCATAAATTTTTCATTTCACATGCTGAATACTATCATTTAGTAAAAAAAAAAAAAAAAAAAAAAAAAAAAAGTATTTTAAAAAAAAAAAAAGAAAGGTTCGACCGAGAATCGATCCCGGGACCTCTCACTCTTGAAGCGAGACACATAACCACTAGACCACGGAATCGCTGTACATTCTGAGAAGTATATGCAGAAGTGAAGTCACATACATATATATATTCATGTTTTCATGTTCGGTATTCTCAAAATTTTACACAATCCATGGTGTTTGATTTATTTAGCCTTTATTAAACAGTTCTAATAGATGTAATAAGAACATAAAGTCCGCCGAGAACTTGTTTTATACGCAATAACTCTCCTCATGCCTCTGCGCTAAAAATAGCGACATGTAATACTTAGTACTATAAATACTAATAAAACAAACGGGGCGGGGCACTTTGAGAGGGGCGAGAGACGTCCTAGGGAGTTTTGATATAAAATTACATTGCGTAAGCTCAAAATCTTCTTGAAATATCGCCCGGAAATAATAGTATTACACACAGACAGAATGTTTAAATTTACGACCTTGAACTTTGACCTTTTGACCTCAAAATCAATAGGGGTCTTCCTTAGGCCACAGGGAGTTGCTATGTAAAATTTCATTGCAATAGCTCAAATGGTTCTAGAGATATCGTGTGGAAACGAAAGTGTTTTAACAGACAGAATTTGCTTATTTATGACCTTGACCTTTGACCTTTTGACCTCAAAATCAATAGGGGTCTTCTTTGGTCCACAGGGAGTTGCTATGCTAAATTTCATTGCAAAAGCTCAAAGGGTTCTCGAGATATCGTGTGGAAACGAAAGCGTTACAGACAGACAGAAAGACGGACGGACGGACGGACAGACGGACGGACAAACCCAAATTAATATCCCCCACTTTTCAAGCGGGGGACAAAAATCCTGAAAAAGAAATTCCATGTAAAAACAATAATAAGTCCATACATAATAAACTCAACACTAATCTGAGAGAAACAAGAATTCAGAGAGGAATTAAAAGAAAATGTAAAAAAAGAAAAAAACCAAAAACAAATTTTGTTAGCATAATTATGCAGATCAATAAACCCAACTGGGAAATGAGGCGAAATAATAACTGGACTAAACTATAAAA